CAGGTCTAGACCTGTCATGAAGAACCCCCATACCTATATATGAATAAACTTGGCAGCGATTCAAATCATTCAAAATGCCTATTGTGACGTCATCTTACACATTCACAGCCTCTTTGGCTGCTTAATTTTGACACTTTAGAAACACAGTTAATCGCCAGCTTATTGAAAGAAAAACAAGTCCATGTTAAAGTTGAAACTCTTTTATTTAAGTGTTAAAAATATACAAAGTCTTCTTCTGTAGTTTCTGGGGCTTTTTGGGCTCTCCCATGTGTTTTCTTTTATTTAGCTGGTCCATCAGATTTTCTTTGTTCTCCTGTGGCTGGGCAGTGTGTTATTTCTTCTGCGGCTTTTCCTCCTGTGGCTGAGCACTGTGTTTTTTTTCTTCTGGGGCTTAGGTAATGTCTTCCCAGGCAGTTTATCTTTGTCATACTTTTTAGCCCAGTGATCTAATTTACCACATTTGTAGCATAGATCTTTCTTAGGACAGTAAGGGGCCCAGTGTCCTAGCTAACTATTCACAGATAGAACAGGGGATGGTCTCTCTGGTTTTCTTTAGAGGTTCTGTGTCTGTGGGGTCTCTGCTTGTAACTTAAGTCGCCACTTTGGCCTTTTCTTCTATTCTACTCACTCTGGTGTCCAGTAGGGCCATTCTGCCTTTCATGTAAACCAATTAACTCATGACTGTTCTTCAAACTTATCTGCTTTCTCTTGAATGTGATTTAGCATGTTGACCATTCCCTCTAACACGGTGGTGATCATACTCAAGTCTTCTTTAGTGATCGGGTCTGGGAGATTATCCAGCCCTATAGGAACCTGGGTCTCTGGCATGGGGGGGGGGGGTCCCAGATACCCTTCAGGTGACACATAGTTATGATTGTCTGTGGTATTCATTACTTGTGCCATGGTAAACACGTCTGACTTTTAAAAAGGTCTGAAGCGAAATGATGATCTATACACTCTAAGTGATGGTTTTATACCTTTACCTACACGCGCTTAGCAGGTGTATACCTGCACGTTCTCGGCGCACGCTTCCCGCCAAAGGACACATGGTCCGCAGGTATTTTACCAGGTCACGTACTCAGCGCGCGCTTCCTGCTAAAAGACACCTGATCCGCCGCTGTTTACCTGCACGTTCTCTGCACGCGCTTCCCGCCCTCTACACCTGGGGTGAAATAGGGTATAAATAAGAAAAAAAAAAATCTATTTTTATCTTCATAATAGACTATCATGTCTAAGCACAACCATCCTCTGATTTTAAAAGAGTATGATCCATTCATGCAATGGATAAAGCAAAGCCCACAATCTTTCCAAAGAAGAAGTATTCTTAGAAGCTACAGACATCCTAAAACGACTCAGAATTCATGGTTTCATTGCCTAGGGCTCTTAGATCCTCCCAAAGTGGAGAGACTAGTCATTTTACAATTTTTTGTCAACAACTGAAAAAAACTCTCAGTTTCAAAGAAATCCATGATCGCTCTTACTTAAGTTTTCATCCAGCCTCCTTGCATGTAAATAAACTGACTGATGGGACTCTCACAATATCAGCCATACTGCATCTTTAAAAACACGTCTGACTTGGGGACTGAATTTTTCCAGTATGAATGATTTTTTTTTTTTTTTGGGGGGGGGGGGGATCTACCTCTGTATAGTCCCATCTATTTCTAGTATCTCAAGAAAAACGACAACCATATTTTTTTTTTTTTTGATTTTATGATTTATTTCCTTCATATGTACATAATAGACATTTCCTGTAGCAGGTCACTATGAACTTCTTCACACTTTTTTCACAGCAGGTATATTGACATTGTTGAAACTTCCATCTCCCCTCCGTATTTTCAGTCAAGCATTTCTTTTAGGGTCTTTTCCTGGTCACTTTGACCCATTGGGGTACAATGTTCTCGGTCCCGTACTTCCATGTGAAATACCTCACACACAACCTTCAGCCACAGGTCACAATCCAGTGTGGAAAAGGCATTTCACAATGCGACCAAATTTGTTAAGTTCTGTGATGCCTTCCCGGATAGTCATACACCGTGAATTCACCCGGATGGATCATCTTCCTATCCCAGTAATGACAAATGTGCGTTTCTACTTCAATCCAATAGATCATTATCCATATAAAAAACATGATTGGTAAAATGAGCTTAGTGTATCTAAAGCTAAGCTTTAAGATGAAGTGTGGTGAAATTGAAAAGAAAAAGCTCAGCTGTAAGTACCTTTAAAATAGATGTTGACCTGCACGTTCTCGGCACGCGCCTCCCGACCTTTCTATAAGTACACCTAAAAACAGGGTGTATACATACTATACACTGTACACTCATACACAAACTTGACAACGATTCAGATCACTCAAACTGTCTATGGTGACGTCATCATTACAAAAAAATGTGGTATATAGAGCGTCGTTTTGATTTCACTGAGCTCATTTTATCACATGCCTTCTGTAGGGATAATGTGGTATTTTCTTTATAAAGATTATAGTGCTTGTCTTCATTGCTGAAGGCAGTTGAGAGAGATCAACAGAATACCTGAGTTGGAAAGTGACGGATATATTGTTGATTTCTATTATATTAGGGATGTAATGAATGTGGAGAAAGTATACCTCACTAGGAAATAGACGATCCCTCTAGTTTGGAGCGTTGTCACTGTGATTGGTTACTTTAATATTTCATGTGTGGAAATATGGTGTTGATTATATGAGTCCGTGTTGGACTAAACTCATGCGAAGAAATACCAACAATGAGAAATGTCCCTTTCGCGTGGAAGAAAACACTCAAGGGAGATGGAAATGTAAACAATGCATGAAATACCCCTGATGTGAGAAGTGTTACAAGATCATTATACGGCTTTCTTACAAAATTTGTCCTCTGTATCGTTTTGAACAATAAAAACATGTAAACAAAAGAAACAAGACAATCTCAGCCGAGTGTATATTAGGATATATATTATTTTTTTTAATATCGGAGAAAAAAAATATAAGACCAGATTTTGTTTGGATTTCTCTTTTTTTATTATTCACAAGAACAAGAACAACATCTTTTTGTGTGTGAAACGATCTCCTCATGTACAAATATTCTGTTTCACAAGCACAGTCCATGATGTCGTATCCTTCTAAGACCACTTTCTTTTAATACTCTTTGATACAATCCCCGGCGTTTTCTACATATTTCCCTTGAATCTAAGTCTTCTCTGGTCTCTCTCTTTTGTGAGCCGAGACGTATTTCACTTTCCATTTGAATTCCTTATACTTAGGTTACCTGAGTCCTTATAAGACCATGGTTTTTGTCTGTTTTTGGTCCGGTAACTTCTAAAACAGGTAGATGTCATTAACTCCTTTTTGTCCCGGATACTTTTCAAAGAAATCTTGGATACATTTCTCTTTGTTTTTCAACCATTCTCCTTTTAGAGTAGACCCTGAAGGTTCCTTAATTTTTCAACAATATTCTGAGCTTAAAAACTCTATGGTGTGCTATGTCCTTCCGTGAGTAAAGTCAAGTCAAGTTAATTTTATTTATAGTCGGCACATATATACATATATACATATATAGGGGTAGGGCGGGGCCAAAATGGCCAACCAAAGTTTTACATAGAAATATATAGGAAAATTCTTTAAAAATCTTCTTCTCAAGAATAGCATAGTCAAAATTGATCATTTTTATATGGAAGCATCCTCAGGTAGTGTTGATTCAAGTTTGTTCAAATCATGACCCCAAGGGGTAGGGCGGGGCCAAAATGGCCGACCAAAGTTTTACATAGAAATATATTGGAAAATTCTTTAAAAATCTTCTTCTCAAGAATAGCAAAGCCATAAATGATCATATTTATATGGAAGCATCCTCAGGTAGTGTAGATTCAAGTTTGTTCAAATCATGACCCCCAGGGGTAGGGCAGGGCCAAAATGGCCGACCCAAGTTTTACATAGAAGTGAATAGGAAAATTCTTTAAAATCTTCTTCTCAAGAATAGCAAAGTCATAAATGATCATATTTATATGGAAGCATCCTCAGGTAGTGTAGATTCAAGTTTGTTCAAATCATGACCCCTAGGGGTAGGACGGGGCCCAAATGGCTGACCATAGTTTTACATAGAAATGTATACATTGGAAAATTCTTTAAAAATCTTCTTCTCAAGAATTGCAAAGCCATGATTGGTCTTTGGTCTGCTTTTGGATTTAAGCTTTTCAATTATAAACCAATTTTGCTTTTTCCTAGCCACAGTTCTCAGGTGAGCGATGTGGCCCATGGGCCTCATGTTTGATTTTGTTGTAGTAAATTTATGAAAAAGCATTTTCTTCTCGTAGATTTCTCTCTTCCGATTTTTGTTCATTTACGGTTCTTGATTTGGTAAAATTGTCCGCTCTTTGAGGGGTGCATATTTCTTCACAACGTCAAAAAAAAAACATAAACTAAAATTTTCATAAGCTAGGTTTTCATCCCTTTTCTCTGATATATCTGAGTTGCGTCAAGCGAAATGGACCTTCGTGACAAAATTTCCGAAATTTGGTTTTTGACGGTTTCTGAAAGAGCTAGTCCTTCTGATTATTTTGATATCAAATATTTCATTTAATTCTTAACATAACCTTATTAAAACTTAAAAGAAATGCAAGCAAGGATTACAAGATAACGTCAAAAAATGCTTCATAACGTCATACAAATGCTAAATAACGTTATTTTTCGTCTGTGCAATTGGATTGTCTTTGTAATGAAAACAATAACGTATATACCTAGAAATATGATTTTACTTAATGTATTTGAAATTTTTAAACAATATCAATCGATCCTTTACAATGCTAGTATATTTATAAAGTAGTCTAGAATAAAATGATTCAGATAAAGTGATTATATTTGATCAAGAAATACGATTAACATTCAAGAAATTATTAGCATAAATTTGAATTTTATATAAACAAGAAAACAACTTTAACAACAAAAAATACACTTGTCGATGAATTATAGTCAATGTTCTGCAATGCAATTGTCCTCTTTTTTGGGCACCATCAGATTACTCCTCAAGACTAGGACAGGTGGAGTCCTTGTGAGGTTCCCGAACGAAGGGGCGGACCATCCGAAATAAGTACCCCTGTCTCTCTGGGGTCATACCGCCAGGAGGGAAAATATCTGGCATCACCGTCCCTGTTGTTAGATCTTCGGGGCGAACTATGGGCTTTAGAAGACTGATTTCCCTTTCAGTACCATCAGCATCACATTTGACGAACAGTTTTCCTGTGTATGAAATTAAATAATTCAAATAAACAAGTAGAAGAACGGAAAATAATAGTAACAGATACTTATACAAAGAATATTCTTTAAACTGATTTTAGAGGAAATATTACTGCAACAATTTATACAGCAATAATTTAACTATGATAGTCTTTGAAGAATGCATACCCGGAGCTAATGAGGAAAATCTGAAGTGATGCATTTTCCTGATGCCTTTGACTGATGTGAAGAACCTGCTTGTAAAGGTTTTCCAGTCATACCACTCCCAGCTACGTTCTCCATCGCTGTTAATGTAAGTCACGGGAGCGTTTGATTTGGCACTCTTTCTAACAACATCAACAAGACTGGAAAAACTGTCCACATCTGTCCTGTGGTACAGCCTTTTAATGTTGGCAAATCCAGCGTCAACGAGGCATCGTCCATGGTATGGCACCTGCATGGAGAGCCTTATTTCGTTGTGCAGGCCGAGAAGCGTTCGCCACATCAGATATCCCAGCACGTATCTATTCTTGTTCTCACCTTGCAACACAAATTAAGAGTATTCAATGCATAAACAGAATGATTTAACTCGATCAATCATGCAGCTTATTGATAGAAAGCATAAACTACCTGCACAATTGTCGCAGTGTATCACACAAGCCTTTTCTCCTGAGCCGTAGTTTGTGAGGCAGTGGTGGAGCATTGAAATAACACCGTTGGCACCTTTAATTCCTGCTCCGTTTTCCCCGATCCCTTGATTCTCATCTATGAGGTAATTCATTTGCCGGTACTGGCCTTCTACGGCAACGCCAAATAATTGCACTTTGCGAGGCGTAAGGAAGTATAAAGGACCTTCTTGTCGCGCATGGTGGGGGATGGAGAGAGCCTGGGAAAAGTCGAAGGTGTAGTGGACATGACTAGGGTTGGTCGAACAAGGGGGGATGAGTCCAGTTGGCCTCTCATATGACTCCATTTCTTCCCTAGCCTTTGTAACAGCATTATTGTAGACCTACATTAGACGATTTACAAAAATCAACATAACTAAAGCATTAAATAATGAACAGAACAAATTTAGTATATATTCTGTCAAACGATATGTGATACCTGATGCTCTTTTTCCACCATTGACAAATGTTCTGTAAATTCTTGCAGATGATCCTGTTTCTCCTGTAATCCAGCTGCTGAAGAGATATTTGCTCTGTGCTCCTCACATTTTGGACAAATATCTGAACGAGGAGTCATGTACTTGATATGTGGTAAGCAGTCCTTCCAAAGAAGTTTGAATGTCGTAAGACCAACATGTCGTTTGTTCGTTTCTGTACATGAAGTTACGTACGAGAAATGCAGTGTAAACTTGTCACCAGATGATGGTAAAAAAATACATGGATTCCCTTGGTTCTTTACATTGGGTTGAGGAAGACCAAACTCTTCTGCGTAGTTCTGGATAAAGTCTACGGCATTCTTTAGTTCTTCAAAGCTGAATGCATTACTTGGCCGTCTGTTTTTGTTCTTGTGAATCCGTGGAACAAATCCATTTTGATTCAAGTGGGAAACTATGTTCTTTATGTATATAGATCCGACGCCGTAAACTAGCAAAAAGGACCCCTTGCAAATTTCCTTGTTTCTGAAGTTATATGCATATTTTCTCCTCTTTCTTTCATTTCCACTCTGAGTAGTACTGCCGTCCCCAATACACGAAAGCTTCCCCATTATAAACATGTCCCGCTCCTCTCTTGAGAGTTCATTTGACATCAATATTGAACTGTGAATCTCCTCTAATGGAATGTCGCTTAGACAGAGTTTTCCACAGGAGCACGAAGTGGAAACTTTTTCTTTTAAAGCCTGCATGTCACTGCACCCGTTGCACGAAATGCTGTCCTCGCCTTCACTTTCACTTTCTTCGTTGATTTCAGTGTTGTAGTTCCGATTAAACATCTCAATTTTTTCCCTTAGTTTCTCGTTATATACATTGCTACTAGGCCTCAGATCGTCTAATTCTAAATCGCTGTCCTCTTCCTCAAATGATGGACTGGCAACAACTGGTCTGCGGCGAGGAAGAAACTCCTCAACTATATGGTCCAAATCCTGTAAAATATGTAATCGAAGTTGACAGTATAACAAATACAAATGTATCTTGTATTTACTCATTTCAAAATGACCCATGAATAAACCAAATTTAATTACAGTTTATTCTAATATTCAATGTATATATGTAATATTTAGATTGCTATGCAGTGATTTTTCTAAATTAAAGTTTAATCTCAATGAGAACGGTGTCACATAGTACGTTTTTAGAAAATTCACTTACAATGCTCTGAGCAAAATTTAACTTTATTGAATTAGTTTAATTACGTATTTTGGGGATTGTTCTAGAAAATTTTTAATTAATTTATGAACTTTTGATTTTAACAACAGTTACAAGAATAACAATCATACACATGAGCCAAAAAAACATTTTGTATTATCCTTGTCAAAATTTCATGTCCCTAAATTAGTTAACTTAAATTTTTATAGTAATCAGATAAGTAGCATTTTTCAATCAATTTTTTTATTTTTAAAAATACCCCGGTATATCTTTGTAACTCAAAATAATAAGGGTCTTCCGTCTTCAGCGGAAGACCCTTCTATTATTCTTATGTTTCTTTTTCACTTTTCTTATAATTATTAAGGTCTTTCGTTTCCAACGGAAGACCTTCTTGTTATTCTTCGGTTTCTTTTTTCCTATTATTATTATTTTTTTCCAACCGATTTTGTGCATGCGATTTCTCAGAGATGGCTCGGCCGATATACACCAAATTTGCATATTACAATTATAGCTATTTAATCGATCTTGATAGGTTTTTTTGTTTTTTGCTCTCATCACTTCCGGTCGTGAGATATGGGCAGTTTTATGATTTTTAGAGGGTCTGCTTGTCCTGGAAACTCCTCCGGAACGACTTAAGATATTGACTCAAGATTTTCAGTGAAAGTAAATGAAGGTTTGCTGAGTTGCAGGCAGGCGTCCAAATCTTTATGGCGCAAAAGGCGCCGAAGCTCGGTAGAGCCCGAAAAATATCTCAGAAAAATCTCACAAAATATGACATTTTTTTTTCATATCTTCGTATTTATTCATATTTTGTTAAAACATATAGAAGAACAGTTGTGCAGATTCACAAGACCTGTCAAGAAAATGGGGCTGACCTCTCAAAGTAGGGGCTCAGAAGGGCATACAGTACTGAAGCAAAAGTATTCATCTTAACAATTTGCAACAATATATGATAAGATTTTGATCATATGTTACGTAATTAGGGGTCAGAAGGGGCCAGAATATCAAATCTTTGACGCTTTATATCTCAAAAAGGGGGAATATTTTGATAAGGAATATTGAACAAAAGATGGTCAGAATAATGTTCTAAACAATATGCGTACTTTGAAGTTTTGTAAAACGGCCCAATTAAGGACTTGTAGGGTCATATAATATAGATCATCAAACGATCTTGATAGGTTTTTAAGCGTTTTTATGACGCCACTTCCGGTCGTGAGATTATGAGCATTTTCTGATTTTAAAATGCAATTTTGTCTTGATTTAGTAGCGATAACTGATTAAGATATGAACTGAAGATTAATTGGAGATGATAGTTCATGATTTATAGCGTTGCAGAATCGCCTCTTCGTTCGTCGTTAGTACTTCCGGTCGACACCGGAAGCGAATTTAAAAAACGCAATTTTTCAAATTTTCTTTTTTTAATATTTTTGTTCTGATTTGAATAGAGACCCTTTTGCAGAAGCGAAAAATGTAATTTGTTTGAAAATCGAAAAAGGCAATCTCGAGATATTAGCATTTGAAAACGCGAAGCGGCGATCCCTATGGCTGAATGGTTAGCGCGTTGGATTGTCACGCGGGCGACCCGGGTTCAATCCCCCGTATGACCAAAAAATTTTATCGTTTTTTCTGCTCGATTTTTTCGATATTTTTTAATTTTAGACCATTTGGAGCAATATATTATAAACTTTTTGGCATATTTTGCGTAATTAGGGGTCACAAGGGGCCAGAATGTCAAATCTTTGACGCTTTATATCTCGAAAAGGGAGAATATTTTGATAAGCAATATTTAACAAAAGATGTTCGGAATAATGTTTTAAACAATATGCATACTTTGAAGTTTTGTAAAACGGTCCCATTAGGGACTTGTAGGAGTGGTCCCTAAATATTTCTATTTAGCATATCTCCACAACATATAGAAATCTCTGAACAAGTGTTGAACAAGAAAGCTTCAAAATCACAAGACCTTTCATTTGATATCAAGAAAAAGGGGCTGACCCCTCACATTAGGGGCTCAGAGGGTCCAAAAGTCTTTTATCTATAACTCTCTATTGATCAAGATTTTGTATTACATTTCTGAAGCAAAAGTATTTATCTTAACGATTTGCAACAATATATGATACAATATTGATCATATGTTACGTAATTAGGGGTCACAAGGGGCCAGAATGTCAAATCTTTGACGCTTTATATCTCGAAAAGGGAAAATATTTTGATAAGCAATATTGAACAAAAGATGGTCAGAATAATATTCTAAAAAATATGCATACTTTGAATTTTTGTAAAACGGCTCCATTAAGGACTTGTAGGAGTGGCCCCTAAATATTTCTATTTAGCATATCTCCACAACGAATAGAAATCTCTAAATAAGTGTTGAACAAAAAATCTTCAAAATCACAAGACCTTTCATTTGATTTCAAGAAAAAGGGGCTGACCCCTCAAATTAGGGGCTCATAGGGGCCAAAATCTTTTATCTATATCTCTCTAATGATCAATACTTTGTTGTACATTACTGAATCAAAAGTATTAATCTTAACGATTTGCAACAATATATGATACAATTTTGATCATATGTTACGTAATTAGGGGTCGTAAGGGGCCAGAATGTCAAATCTTTGACGCTTTTTATCTCGAAAAGGGGGAATATTTTGATAAGCAATATTGAACAAAAGATGGTCAGAATAATGTTCTTAACGACATACACACTTTGAATTTTTGTAAAACTGCCCCATTAAGGACTTGTAGGAGTGACCCCTAAATATTTCTATTTAGCATATCTCCACAACGAATAGAAATCTCTGAATAAATGTTCAACAAAAATCTTCAAAATCACAAGACCTTTCATTTGATATCAAGAAAATGGGGCTGACCCCTCAAATTAGGGGTTCATAGGGTCCAAAAGTCTTTTATCTATAACTCTCACGCAGGTAGGTTAAGGTTACAACCAAATATTCTACTTGCCTATATGATATGACGTCATAGTAAGCTATATGACGTGAGGTTTAGAGATAATAATTTCTTAAAATCGATAACTAAGATTGATTTGAAGTCGTGAAAATGAATCAAAATATGCAGAGGAATAATATAAACGGAATTTTGTCGTTTCTGGGCCTCTGTAGTCATCACAGGGGTTACATTCCAAACCCCTGACGTCATTACTGTTGATCATGCAGTAGCAGAGTGAAAGTGAATCGTAACTAGAATGTGATGTAAACAAACACTAGAAATCGGAGTTTAAAAGCATTTAGAATGAATATCATGTGTGATTCTTGTGGGAATAAAGCGTATGAATAAGGTATGGTAATATACTTTTGCAATTTCTTCGTATATTTATAGCAGGGAGGGTGTTTACTTGCCGATCAGCCTTTCCTCTGTCGTTCGTAACAAAAAAGATGCAAAAGTTCAACACTACGCCGCATACCTTGAAACTTAATTTTTGTTTCTATCTAGAGGTCTTATTCTATTGTTTTTGGAAAGTGCTGCTAGAATCGTATGGTTTACGGGAATTGATGCTTTTTTTCAATATTATGGCCAAAATGTAAAAATTTTGGGAAGGTTTCGTCCGAAATTGTTGAATTAATATTCTATGATAGGCCAGTACGATTCTAGCAGCACTTTTCATGGTACAGAGATGTTTTTACATAACTCTTATTACAAATTGAAACTAGATATCCCCGGGGTAGTGTTAAACTTTTCACTTGTTCATTAAGGCATATTTTCTAATTATAGACGTCACGTGGTGACGTCGTGGTGAAATGCCTCCTGTAGTATAAGTCCCATTGAAATCTATAGAATGCATAATTATAGCAAAAGTTTTATTCTTGACTTTTCCGATGTATCAGTGTTACATAATTATAAAAAAGTGTTAATTCGCCGAATTCTAATCCATGTGCTGCCTTAACATACCCGCGCAAATGATCAATATTTTTTGATAAGTATCCATCATGAGAAGCACAGATATTCATCTTAACGATTTGCAACAATATCTTATAAAATTTTGATCATATGTTACGTAATAAGTGGTTGCAAGGGGCCAAAATGAGATATTTTTTATGCATTACGTTTCAAAAAGAGGGAGTATTTTTATAAGCCATATTGAAGAAAAGATGCTCAGAATATCGTGATAAAAAAGAGAAACTTAAAAATTAATGAAGGAAAACTTAATGTCATTCTCTTTTAAAGAATATCTCAGTCAAAATCACATCTCATCTTATCGAGAAATTCAACGGAAGACCTACTCGTTGCTCGCAACGAGATCTCATCTAGTTTTTAAGGTCTTTCGTGTTCAGCGGAAGACCTTCTTGTTATTCTTAGGTTTCTTTTTCACTTTTATTATTCTTTTTCTTTCTTACCGATTTTGTGCACGCGATTTCTCAAAGACGGCTTGATGGATTTCCATGAAACTTTCAGGACTTAT